CAGTTGCCGAGGAGATTGTGCTCCAGAAGCTGGAGGATTGGGGTGGAAGCAGGGTGGCTGTGCTTTCTGGCAACGTGAAGGCCTTGCTCAAGATTCGGGTTAAGGAGTTTAGGGTTTAGGGGATAATAGGTTAAGGATTTAGGGGTGTAGGGTCCCCGGCTTCTGTGCCTGGATGAAGTATAGGGATTCCCCCTAAAAGCAATGGGACTCGAAAACCCTTGCCCCACGAATTCTGCGAAGTAATTCCCTCCCGCTCAAACCCGACAACAACGACCTTTCCCATTAAGCCCCAGATTGGATTTGTAGTCCTGAGAAACATCTGTGAAGGTCGAGAAGAGACAGGAGTTGGTGGAGGCCACCGTAGGTCTTGTGTACAGGCCTCAAAGGGCCATCTTAGATAGGCATCATAGGGTAGTTTCCCTAAAAAGGGGACCCTAATAGAAACCCCAAAATGTTATATTCCTTATTATGGGGACCCCCAAAAATGGTACCCCTAATTTTGGGAAACTACCATAGAGCACTTCCTAGGACCCAGGGTTTTGGGGTTCAGGGTTTAGGATTCGAGGGGTTAGGACGCTTAGCTGGTGGGTCGGCGGTTTGGGCTTCATCGCCGGGCTTTTGTCAAAGATTTGACACCCTTTGGTGGATATCAAGTATAGTATGGTATTCTGTTTTTATTATGGAAAATTTGGAAAACTGGAACCTCTGAAACTGTCCATACATCACCACATGGGGTTTATAGGAGTCTTCAAAGGGAGAATGCACTGGCACCATGTGGGACTACAGAGGTCGACTAAGGCTGCTTTCCTGGGCTTTGTGGGGAAGTCTGGGCAAGAGAGTCAATGCTTTTAATGTTGAAGGAGGAAGGGCAAAACCTCAGGGTAGTTTTATCATGTGGCATTGTTGTAGTGAGCTTTGCTGTATCTGACAAGGTTAAACTTCACCCCAAACTCTAAACTTCACCCCAAACCCTAGACCCTAAACCGCAACTAGTCGCTTGTTACAGGGTGGGGCGGCCTGGTCAGCAAGCAAGTTTGAATTCAAAAGATAGGGTTTTGTTCGTGGCGCTTCTGGCAAGACAAGGAGATTTCAGAAAAGGCCTTGCGGGGGGATTCTTTAATCTAAACTCCTTAAAGGCTGGTTAGATAGTGGGTTATATGGGGTTTGGGGTTTAAGGCTTAGGGATCTAAACTCATTAAGGGCGGGTTATATAGGGGATGATCTAGGGGACTACTATAGGGGTTATGAAGGCGGATGCTATGGGAGTTTAGACTATAACTCATATTTCCTTACAAACACCCGTTTCCATTTCATATTCCATGTTCTTTTCCATTTGATTCTCCATTATAGGGTTTTAAAGGCAGCTAAACCCTAAACTCTAAACCCTAAACCCTATACCATGGTCCTGCCGGGAGGCTTTCCAATCTGGGCCTGACCTCCGCATTCTGCTCATCTCTCTTCAGGCAGCTTTGGGCTTATAAGTTTGGAATCGGGTTCATAATTTTAGGACTTTAGGAGTGGGTTTATAAGTTTAGGAGTGGTTTTTTGTGATTCTAGGGTTGGGTTGAGGGCTATAGGTTTGAGGTTCGGGGCAACTAAGAGCTTAAAGCCGTGTGCGGGAGCTTGCAAAAACTGTTCAGATCGCAGACTTCTCCAAACCCAGGTGGAAATCCTTGTGGTGGTAGTCTGGGCAGCTTTAATTTCAGCTGTTGAGATTAGAGTTTCAAAGCAGTTAAATCGCTGCTTCCAATATAACTGAGTCTCGTTTGCATTCGACTTGCAAATCAAGGCCATTTATGGCTGCTTGATCTTTTCTCTCTCGTTTACTAGAGAAGGTATGGAGGTGGCTGTATTCCTGCAAACTCCACTACCTTCGATTGAGGATGAGTGCCGCATGTTTAGGAGAGAGGTAGGGGGCCAAACCATGACCCTGAACCTTCCTTCAATGAGTTTGCGATGCCTCAGGCTCAAATTAGGATCCTTGGATTTGTGCAGGCGCCAGGCCTGTAATGCTTTACCCTAGACCCCCTGAGCCTGATCCTGTAAGACTACCTCCTCCAAGTACCTCTGAATCTTGAAACCTCAGACCTCAGCCACCAAAGCCTTGACGGTAGACTAAGAGTTTGCCTAGGTTTCTGAATAGCAGCTAGCACCGTTTTTCTTATTCACGTCCATCGCTTGCCAAACCGGTTGCCTTATGTGCTATTTACTGAGATTTCCGGTCGAGGCTGTTAATCTGTGGTTCCTTTGGATGCGCTACCTATTTGTTGTTATAGTCCCCCTTAAGTAGATAGAATCTGGCTTTGGGTATATTAGCAGCAAGATCCCCATATATTCCATATTCTATCTACTTAAGGGGGACACTATATGTAATGCTGGACCCTAAACCCTAAACCCTAGATGATTCCAACCCTGGAATCTCTGCCCTAACAATTGCATCAGGTTGGTGGCGAGGGATTGAACCTGCAGGCGGCTGAGGGACTTGCATCCATTGCTATCATTGCCTTTACTATTACTGTTCTTAGTATCATTATTATGGCTATTACCATTTCTATCCAAACAAGAGTGGGCTAGAAGGAGGTTTGTGCGGTGGCAGCTTCTTCAATGTTGGGGAAAGTTGTATTGAGAATTGCTGCAAGGGTTCAGAGGAGTACAGATTCTAAGGGTATTGTACAGGGTTTCCTGTAGGTTGTCTCAAGCCCTCGATCCCTACCCGAGTAGATAAATGTTTCTCGCCCGAAGCACCCATTTACCCAAGCATTCTGCTGCTACGAGATGAGATTGCGGATGTCCGTGAGGGTTTGGGCTTTGGTGGTTTGGGATTGTGGGTGTTGAGCGCCGCCACCCAGAAATAGTTGGATAATAGTTCTAATCGTAAAGCCATAAATATTACCCTTAAACTCCATAATATCCCATAATATACTATACTGACACCATAATATCCTATACTATACTATAATATATATTCTATTCTACTATAAGATACTATAATATATTATATGATATACCATAATATTGTACACTGTTGATGCATGGGGGCAGTACCCGGAGCATCCTGTCTGAGGCAGCCAACTATGTGATGCTGCTGGATCCCTGGTGGAATCCTGCTGCCGAGTTGCAGGCAATGCAGAGAGCTCACCGCAACTCACTTGCAGACTTTACATCGGGATTATATTGGGGTTGTATTGGGATAATGGAAAAGAAAATGGAAACTACTATGTAGGGTTTAGGGTTCTAGGATTAATCACCCCCCCTCTCGCCTTGAATGTTAAAACTCCCGCTCCCCTTACATACAAAATTCCGCTGCAAAACGGAACGGTTTGAGTTTATATGTGGATAGAACAGCAACGGCCATCCAACTCAGTCCTGCAATGCTGGATGCTCTTGAGCAACCATTCTTACTGTGCTCCTTCCGCTTGTTCAACTTCTTCCTCTAACAAAGGTAATTCTACATTGGGGTTATATTGGGGTTATATTGTGGTTATATTGGAAAGAAGACGGAAACTACTATTTAGGGTTCAGGGTTTTAGGGTTTAGGATTCAGGGTACTTGATATCTCAGGTATCGGGCAGACCAGGCCGGTTCACGTTATTCGATTTATCTCGGCGGGGACCATCGAAGAGAAGATCATGAACCTTCAAGCGGCTTGATAGCATTGCTCTGAGCTTAGGGTCAGTAGTTTAGGCCTTTTTAACGGGATACCTAAGGTATGGTTACAGCAGGGGTTAGATGCTCAGTCAGGGGAAACCAGAGTTCCATGGGATTGCATAGCTTTCGTCCTCTCATAGTTTGGGATTCCTGTGCTAAGCTAGTGAAACTGGGACCAAGGAGAAGAAGCAGCAGATCTTCAACAGCCGCTTGCATGGGTGACGTGTGGTCTGTTCTCAAATTGCTCTCTGTGATAAGCCGCAAATACGGGACTTATTGAATAATGAGATCTATTACTAGGGGTTGGGGGGGTTTATTGTGACTTTTAACTTTTTTTTGTTGTGTGCTGGTCAGATGACCTTCCCTAAGCCCTGTTGGATAAACTTTTTTATGGCCTGAAGACCGCCCCACATGTTTTTCCTTAAGTCCCAAGGCAGAAACTATGAACATTAAGCCCAGGCACAGTTGGTGGCTGCAATAACTCGTTGCTTCAGCTAACTGGGGAAGACATCCAAGCCCTTTTTCGAGACTAAGCTGGACCACGTCGTATTTGTCCAGCAGAGCAGAAAGCTTCACAGAGACGAGCAGGCGCTGGCCCTGGAGCTCCTCGTAGGGCATGGGCACATGGCGCAATTGACAGGAAGGTCGAGAAAGAGACAACCTGAAACCTCCGAAGCAGCCCAGGCCTGGATGCAGGTCTACAGGGACCCTGACCACCAGAATTCTGACAGACAGCAGCTCAAGTTTCTGGTTGACCCCTGGGCTGCACCGTCGTCATTCCTAGCAGAGGAGCCTTGGCTACCAGAGACCTACTTCATGGCAAAACGCTGCCGCGGAGGACGCCATTTCGGCATCTTCCCGGGTTCCTCCTCATTTACCAACCTCTGTCCAAGCCAAGCGTCTGCAAGGGGAGGGCATCTGGGTTTTCATAGATGCCACTTTTTCACAGATCCTGCACTTGAACCTGGCTAAAAGCTGGCATGCCGGAACGCAAACCTTATTTGTGCTTAAAGGGGGTGGGAGAATGAACACAAGGACTACCACAGGGTGATGTATGGGGACTCTTGAGGGATAGTTATAGATATTACTACGCCACGCTTGCTTAGGCAGCAGGGTCAAGACCGCTCGCACCGCAGTCGAGTCATATCTGGGTGCTATGCCACGCAGTCTTAGTTTATTTTGCCCCAAAAAAGCTGGAAATCCTGGGAACTCTCATGATAGCCTATTATCAAGGGGTTCGGTGCAGATTTGCAGGGAAGTGTGCAAAGTAATGCTTGCTTTCCGCAGTGTCACTGGCTCAACAATAACGCAGGTCTGCCGTAGAGCGTACAAGTTCCCTGCGCCATTCGCAGATGGTCTGTACCATGCATCCTGGTCACATCTTGGGAAACCGGGTGCGCTTTTTCGTTCCTAAGAAGCCACCAGGAGAAGATCCCACCTGCTACCTTGCAAGACCATATGTAGACTGCGCAAACACAGGGCATCTAGTTCTTCAAGTTGTACAGGCGACTAGCCATCACATCCCGGAACTTTGCTTTCCAGTTCGACCAATTCCTTACGTAACCTAAATCCTCATCAAACTTGTGAGGCTTTCCCGCCTTTAGGTTGCCCTCCCACACCATGGACCCCTAAACCCTAAACCCTAAACGCTATATATCCTCTTTAAAGGTACCCAACTGTTGGGTACATGAAGCAAGGTATGGACCCAGTACTACGGAGCTGGCAGCCTTACTCTCGTCCTTGCAGCAGCAGCCGCTTGCGTGCAAGACCAATGTTCAGGGTCAAAGATTTATGGCTCAGAAGCCGGATAGCTAGGATACTTAGGGCTTAGGGTTTAGGGATACTATCCTGGAAGGGCTAGGCGATTTAGGGCTTAGGGTCTAGGGCTAGTGGTTCAATCCATTTCACATACACTTTGCACAGGTTTCTGTCTTGTGAGTCTTCTGGGATGTAGGGATAATAAGAGGTTATATAAGTTATATAGGCAGACGAATAAAAAGACCACCAGCTCGTCTAACATACACCTCCTCTCCTGAACCATTGAATATTGAATGGGTTTCGGTCTTGGCCGCTCCTTTGTTTTGTAGTGGTGCATCTATCATATTAGTCACCCATGTCCTGGTGGCGAAGGCTTTGCAATATTCAAGGGCCCTTCCCAAATTTCGGCAGGAGAACTAATAGTGTGTGCTGGTTCTACGCAGGATGAGCTAGGGAGGGGCTTGTGTTGGGACTACTCATGAGCCTGGAGCACCTATTTTTTGTTGGTGTTTCGCCTTGCATAAGAACTAGACATGCAAGGCGTTTTCACAGGCCTCCACAAAAAGAAGGTTTGGGGCTTAGGATTTAGGCGGGCTGAGACCGAGGCTCAGTCTCTGCAGTTCCATTTTCTCAAGGGTTTGGGGTCTCAATACGCCTTGCCATTTCAGACGGAGAATAAACCAGCACACATAAGCGTCCCCAACAGATGTGGCAAAAGACCACCCCTTCTTTCCTAAACCCTAAGCCTTGTACAACACCCAGGTCTACACTGTCTTCCATGCCGATGCCGGCTTTTATCCCGGTGCAGGCTTCACAGGCGCTTCATCCCTCGCGGTGCTCCGATCAGAAATATTCTTCAGACTTTGAGGTAGCTTCGCAGTTAATCTACTGGATACCAGACCCGTTTTGGGTTGAAGGTTCTCAGGGGTTCATAGGGGCATATAAGGGTACAGAGGGATTTATACGATCTAGGGGTTTCCAAAACTAGGCTTCCACTATGGGGTCACCAAAGTTTTTTTCTCGGAACATGGCGCATGGATGAAGGTGGCCACTTTTGAAGTTTCCTTTATCTTGTTTTTTCGGTTCTGTTCGCAATATCGGCTTTTCTGTGTCTTGACCCTCCAAACTTCGCGTGTGGCGCATTTACAGCTCCCGTTCGCAGCGAGTCACCAACATCTCGTCCTGTCGAAAACATCTTTACGACTAGGGGTGTTTATTGCTGGCGTGAAGTGATTTATGTTGACAACGGCCCCTCGTTATGCCTGATTAGGATTCCCCCGCGAAGGATCGTGTGAAGTCCCTTGCCGCTCTCATACCCTAAGCCCTACGCCCCCCCAATCTTATGAAGGAAGATCCTGCTTCCTGTTTCATGTTCGACCCTGTCGAGCTCGCATTTTTTAGATTCTGAATGCCTTGTCGGCTCACTTTCCTCACAACTCTGTAAAGAGCCTTGCAAGAATCCCAGAGCCGCCCACTCCTCCCCTTAGAACTGTTATTCTGATTATCTTTATTGTTATTATTGTTGTTATTAGTATTGTTACTGTTATTACGAACCTCCCCAACCCCTAATAAATATCACCCTCTTTCCGTACTGTTTCAATGACTTGTGTTGTTTATTGCCAGGGGGTGGGAGGATGTAGTATGAGCCTTAAACCCTCAACCCTAAACAATCTAGCAGTCTCCATAGTCTTCTCCATTCCGGATTTGCGTTTATGGAACTTTCTAAGGGTAGGGGGGATTCATTACGAGGGTTTAGGATTTAGGGTTTACTGAGAGCCGCAGGATCCGCTATCAGTATCCCTGAGCCAGATTGTGCCTTACGCCCGGCGCTAAGTGTGAAGTGGGCTGTGCAACATGGAAGTCTCTCAAAACAATCGCTGTACCAAACCCAAACCGTGAACCCTAAAGGCTAAATCTTATACCAACCCTAAACCGCACACCCGAAACCCTAAACCTTAGTGTCGTTCAGGCAGGCATCAAAAGTCCTAGGGGTTGCCTTAAAAAAACCTAGACCTTAACTCTTATACCAACCCTAAATCCCGAACCCCCCGCTCCCACCCCTAATTTCCTTGTAACCCCCGTTCATCCTAGGGTTGAGATGTGCAGGTAGCATACCTGAGATCCTGGGTAATCCCCTCCGCCTGACATGAAAACCAGCACCCCCTTTAAGGGTTTAGGGTTTAAGGTGTGATTTATCTCCTTACCCCTTTAGAATATTCCCAAAAATTGATGGTTAGTATTAGGGGAGTGGATTCATCCTAAACCCTAAACCTTAAACCCAAGTGGAACCCTAATCTTCTTCCCTGTTGTATGAGCAGTGGTCTATTTGCTCTCCTGAAAGTCAGGCCGATTGCAACTGGCGAACAGACGAGGTGGCCTTTGTCTCTTGCCTCAGTTACCCTTTTGGTAATTTCTTTAAGTGTGGGGACCCCAATGTAGACCCCCATATACTATAATCCTTATCATTATAGTTACCCTTTTGGTACTTTCCCTAAATAGGGGGACCTTAAGATAGACCAAAATATACTATAATCCTTATAATTATGGGACACCGTTACAAAGGGTACCCCTTATCCTGGGAAACCCCCATATCGGAAGCTTCCAGATCGGGACTGAACCTCGCACTCTTCTTTCATACCAATCTTTTAGGTGGACCCCCCACCCTGCAATAGTGGCTATAAAGGATAATAAGGATTATCTTAGGGTCCTCTTATATTCCTATTCTACCACTATTACAGGGTGGGGGGTCCTCCTAACCAATCTTCGAACCGACGAGTGCCATTGCGAGGTTGCCACCGGAAAGGACGAGGCTGACTCAGAAAAGACACAGGCCGGGCCTGTGCTAGCGAGGATTCATCCCCTTCCCCCTGAAATTAAAGCCCTCCCCACCTCCACTGAAATTAAATATTCCCAATACATTACAATATGCCACAATAGAGAAGATTGGGGCTTTAATATTAGGGGGAAAGGACGAAGGCGTATCTGAACAAGTGCCATATTGATCAAGCACGCTACCTGCAACATGTGTGCCACATGCGTAGTAAGTATGAGCATTTCGAAATCTGCAGCGAATCTTCAGCCTGCAACTGCTGCAGCTTTTCAATAGCTCCTCCTTCCTTCTTGTTGCTAGGAGATTTTCAGGAATCGATCCCCGTCCTGCCCTCCCAAGACACCAGAAGATTCCCCAAGTCATCCGATGAACTCCCCTCCCTAAACCCTAAACCCTAAACCCTAAACCCCAAACCCTAAACCCTAAACCCTAAACCCTAGACCCTTTTCTTCCCTTTCCTACGAAGAATTGGCATCCCGAGGCCCTGGCTTGCGAAGTACCTTCGCTGGTGAGGCAGGCGGCTAAAGGGAACCTTGAAGAGGCAGATGCCTCAGCTTCCACTGGCTATAATATTGGGGTTTAGGGTTTAGGGTTGGGGTTATGTTGGGATATATAATGGAAAAGAACATGGAAACTACTATAGGGTTTAGGGTTGGGGTTATATTGGGATAATGGAAAAGAAAATGGAAACTACTATTTAGAAGTTATATAGGGGATTATATTGAGCTACGCTTCTGTGCCCTGTTTCTGCTGATAGTGCCCATGCTTGTGATCTACCATAAATTGCGGCGAGTCCTGCGATTGCGATTGCGGCCGCCATCCCCATGCCCACAGTCGCTAATATGTTCCACAATAAGGACCCAGGTCCATTTGGGAAGTATCCGGGTTGCCAATAAGGAATTTAGATTAAGTAACCAGAATATGGATATAGAGTGAATAATCGGGTTTTTTCCTTAGAGTAGTTTAGGTTCCTTAACAGCAGCCCAGATATTTACATTCGGCTGAGGTGCGAAATCTGCTTGATGGTGGTGAGGACGCTGTCGGTGCACATCCAGAAAAGTTAGATTCAAGACGGTTCAGGCTTTAGGGTTTAGGGGCCCAAATAACGGCATATTCTCGTATATGCTAGTATAGGGTTCAGGGTGTGACTCTGCCAGGTGCCCTCCAAAGAGATGTAAAGTAGCCTCGGGATGTACAGGAAACAGGATCCTGATGCCCTGTGACAAAACCCCAGGGCTTTAGGGTTTATGTTTGCGGGTTTAGAATCGCGCTTGTGGTTTTTGGCAGTTCGGCAAGCAGCAGCCCTGACTAGCTAGCTACATGATCCTCAGGGAAGACGTTCCAATCATCCCCGAATGTTCCCCTCTAGTGCTTAGGGCCTCTAAGCATGCCTAGTCCGAGACACGCCTCGCTTGAGCTATAGTTCAAACTCCTTAACGGGGGTTATATAGAGGATTATATAGGGGACTACTATAGGGGTTATTGGGGGGGATACTAGGAGTTGAGACTATGGCTCACTTCATGGGTCTTTTCAAGCCGACTCTGCCCTTTGAAGCGCGGCGAATGTCCAACATAGAGCTAAAGGAATCCTTTCTTCTAGGCCTCCTGCAACTTCGACCCCAAGCCCTAACCCCCCAGATCCTAAGCCTAAGCTCCTCCGCCCTAACCCTAAACCCTAAACCCAAATTAAAGCAGGACCCGGACATAACGGATGATCTCGGCCTGACAGCTCTTCATGGAGCAGCGAAAAAGGGCCATTCCAAGGCCAGGCAGAGAACAAGAACTAAGGGTTTCGGGCTTTGGGGTTTAGGGTTTAGGGCTTAGGGGTTAGGGTTCAGTGTTTAGGGTTTAGGGCTTAGGGTCTCCGGTCTAAGGCTTAGGGTTTAGGGTTTAGGGTTCGCCTAATCTTGCTGGGGGTTGGTGGGGAATAAGGGAATAGATTTAGTAGGGATGAGATGGGGGATGATATTCCCTTCTTCCGTACTAACTCCCATTGCGAAGAAGCCACCCTAAACTTTAAACCCTAGACCCTAAAGCCCTAAACCCTCGGAGATGCCTGGTTGGCACGGCCCCATGAGGCAAAAACTGCTTCCCTGAGAAAATCTTCCCTTCGACTACACAGCCACAGCCCTTACCAGCGTAGCAGCGTCGCCTTCTTCAAGACAGGAAGAATTACTTCAGCCAATGCTTCAAATCCTGTTGACCTACACCCTTGCCCTGCTCATGCCCCTCAGTCGTGCTCCGCGACATCGCCAAGTCACCCTCTGAGACCTCAGCCTCGCCAACCACACTCGCCGACACAGGCATGCCCTGCATCTCGTTCGTTTCTTCAACGTCCATGAGCTGAGTCTCTATTGGACTGACTTGCGTCCCTTCCAGCAGGCCATGCATTTCCAGGACGTCAGAGGTAGCCCCAGCAGCCACAGGACCACCTGCATCACTAGCTGCACTCGCATCAGGCTTGGGCCACTGCCACTGTCGAACACGCCCATCACCTTGCGGTCCAGGCCATCCGGCGCCTTCGCCATTGTCTGCTACCGCTAAAGCCGTTCCAGGAGCCATCGCCCATCTTTCTCCCAGAGCCGCTTCAGACTGCCCTGCATTGGAATCTCCACCAGAAGCCGAAGAGTCCGAGCAGCGTGCCTCGGCCGCACACGGTGACTTTTCTTCAGCTGCGTCTGCTATCACGTCACAATCCACCATTGCCTCTTCATCCATGTCGATCATGGCCTTGTTGATTTCAAAGGTGTCCAGGACTTGTTGACCCCATTTTTTGACAACCATATCACGGTCGACTTGTCCTTCACACCACAGCCTAAACCACTCCCTGCACAAGGTGGATGAGATGCAACTCAGTCAATTCTACATCCAGCAACGAAGCTTCCACCTGGACCGGCAAAGTCTCTGCATCCGAGTCCAGACCTGCCGCCGCATGCAATCCAGGAGTCACCCCTTCCAACCCTTCTGCCTCGTCATCCTGAGCCGTGGTGGTGCTGAGGACAAAGTTCACCTGGGGATCGTCATCAGTAGTCACAGTTCCTGTCAGAGCCGTTGTAGCAAGTTCGTTGCCCTCCTTATCCGACACAACCACCTGAAGCTTGAACCTCTTCGAAGCCCTCGTTCTGGCACTCTTGTCCATCTCCGACTTCACTGCCCAATCTTCCCAGGCCTGGTGTCGTTTGGCTTTGGTCTCTTCTCGCTCTTGCTCCGTGATTTTGTCCCATAGCCACTCATCATGAGCTTGCTGTTCACGTTTTTCTTGTGCCTCATCATCATCGTGGCGCCGAAGTTCGTCAACTTCCTCCTTCGAGGCAGTTTCCCAGGGACCATCCACTGTTCTTCTGACCAGTGTTTCGCCACTACTACTTGCTCCTCCAACTTGCGTAGGTGGCAGTGTCTCATTGGGTAGCGTCTCGCAGGCAGCGGCATCAGTCGCATCCACTGCCATATAAGGCTCGGGCAGATTCCACTGGTTCGTGGCCCATTCGGCTTCCTCACCCTGAGCGGTCTCCTCGAAGTGGTGGATCTCAAAGGCCGCAAGGACGGCGCAAAGCCTTTCGACTCTATCTCGACTCACCGACCGGGCTGGCAACATCCAGCTTTGTCTCCACTCCATCAACTTGGACTGCATATATCCGGAGATTCTGGCTGCTTTCTCAGGTTCCATGCTATCAAAGTGCGCCTGCAGCTGAAGTGTCTTCGAAGCGAAGAGCGTAACAGGTTGCGTTCGAGCAAAGGTCTGAACCAGGCTTGTCGAGTCCCATTCCCATACTGGCGTCTTCACCTTGTTTTGCACTATCTCGGTCCGCACCTGTACAAAGGACTCTGCATCGTCTTGGTTCTCCATGATGGTAATTGCCCTCATTATGTCGGCCCATAGGATCCCCATGAACCGAATGAGACCCACACACAGCCCTGCGCGCTCCATTTGCTTCATATTCCCAAGCGTGGCCACGATGGAGTTGATGCTTTCTCCCGCCAGGATCGACCTGTTGGTAGATTCGTTCATGGAGTCCGTGATCCCGCAGACATCCGACCAGAACCTTACTGTGGGACCGCATTGTTCAAGGGTCGGTGTAATCGCCACCTGGGTTATGACTGGCGCTGAGGACGGTGTCGGGTTCGCTGGGGCAGATTTGGCCCTAGCTGCCCTGTTAATCCCCGACCCCGAGCTGGTGCCGGCTGTCCAGTCGTCCCAGCGGTTATCTTGCTCATCCCTTCGCCGCGGCGCCAAAGTCCTCCATGAGGTCGACCTGGTCGATTGCCATTCCCAATGTCCCTTCTTTCTTTCTCTGGTAGCCCTGGCTGAGCGACGTCTCCGCCTCGGCGACGATGATCGCGTTCTGCTCCTTTCCTTCCTTCCCCTTGAACTTCTTCCTCTAGATCTCTGAACCAGCCTGACCTCATCCACTTCCTGCTCCTTGATCTTTGGGAGAAGTTCATCTTCAGAGCAGGCCTCCTGGCCTTGCAGGTTTCCCGCTTGGTGTGTCATCCTGATTGCCGGCAGGCTCTGGTTGTGCTCAAGCAAGGGGCTTTCTAGCAGGGGAAATTCTTCATGCAATCGGCAGGTCATTTTCCGCATTGTCGAAGTCAGGGTAGCAAAGGCTTTGCCGCTCATACGAGGTGCGGCGACGGCCAACGACCGCCAGCGCCCTCTTCTGCAAGATGGCTTTTGTGACTGTACTTCATCACCTTGACAATGTCCATCACGGATCTGATTGCATATGAAAAGAGTTCGGTTATGAGGGTGCTCGCAATCAGCTAGGGTCACTCCTAAGGAGAAGTCCAGCTGCGCCATCCCCAACGAAATCATGACAAAGATGAGGCTGAGCATGTCCATGGCAAGGCAGGGTACAGAAGAACTAGTACCTACCACACGTCACAGGGGTTGAGGATATGCAGGATCTGGTAGTACTTACTCCTCGCCTTGTCCAACAGGGCCTCCAGGATTTTCTTTTCTGTGTTTTCCACGCTGATGGGAAGGTTAAGCACAGAAAACGTGTCCTCTGCCCCCAGCACCTCAATGCGTTGTCCATCTACCACCAGAGACACACCCCTATCTCCTCTAAGGCAGAGAAGCTTGGACTTACTTGGTTGAACCCGGAGGCCGTAGGCTGCCAGCAATGGTACTAACCGATCGACAAAGCGCTGCATGGAAACAATGTCGCTCTTCCAAGTAATAATGTCGTCCATGAAAGCTGCCCCGTCGCAATTCATGTCTTGCGCAATCTGCCCCTCATGTTGCAGCGGTATTGAGCAGAGCACTTCATCTATCAGGCGACTGAACAAGGCAGGGGATTCAGTGGCACCCTGCTTGACCCCCGAGTTTGCTTGGAGTTGAACATCGTGCCATGGAAGCGACAGCACAACCTCTGCGCTAGCAAGCATCCTGATCATACTCCGTGTCTCAAAAGGAAAAGCCCCGCTCGTCCACTCCATGATTCTCTCTGCCAACTTGACCCTCTTTGTGCTGTCAAAGGCCCTGGCCAAATTCAGCATGTAGCAGTTCGATTGCCATTCTCTACTTAAGTGGGCCACATGGGTGGTAAGCCATGCCATTTCTGCTGGTTGACGCCCGGGACAGGCGAATTGCTTGGGACCCTGTGGCTTAAGGTGCGCGTCCATTCTCTTCAAAAGGAGCCTCGCAAAGGTCTTGGCAGCATGTGAGGACAATGTTATCGGCCTCAAGTGTTTGGCTTCTCCTGGTGATGTTAGCTTCGGTATCAGCGTGGCCACAGCCACGTCCCAACTATCAGGTATGATTCCACCCTGTGCAATGTCATTGTAGAAGGCGCGCAATGCTTCGACAGACATGTCATCATCGACCATAGATTTGAGAACTTCATTGGGGACCAAATCTGGACCAACAGCTTTTCCGTTTTTTCCTTTGAGGACGGCTTCAACAACTTCACCACGGGAGAAGGGAACAAAGGTCTTACCATTCGTGATCCCTGATGTGATAGCATCAAGCTGCTGCCGCGCACCTTTGACTTCGTCATCATGAAAGACTTTGTGAAAATGCTTGCAAAGGTCACCCGCTGGATCTTCAACATGCGCTCGTGCCATGTAGTCATCTCCCCATGCTTTCTTGTTCTTGGTGAGTGCCTTGTACAACCCCCAGTTGCTACTTGCATTCTCAATTCTCTGTGCTTTCCACGCCATCTTCTCCTTCCTGAGGGTCGAAGGGTAGTTCTTCCAATCATCAGCCTGTTTGGAAAATCTCGCCATCTCACCCAGTGTTTTGGTCGCTGCGCTTGCCACAAATTTAGGACCCAACGATGCCGGCTTGGTACATGACCCTGCGAGCTCCTCGAGCTTGCTCTGCGTGACTTGCTGGAGCTGGGGCAGCCCTCTGCAAACAACCCTGGGACCTTCTGCCCTAACCCTTTTGATTGTTTTTCCCTTGATGGTCACAACCACTTCCACCCTGTCATGGTCTGTGCCGATTTCGTGCCTGCTGCTCTCCATAATGGTCAGGCACCCAACCGCCATTTGGGAACAGAACGCCCCATCAATCTGTGTGTCAGACACGTTGCCCTTTCGCGAGTGGAAAGTGGGGGTGTGTAGTTGATCCAACCCGGGTGGAGCTGCCGAAGCCCTGCCTCCGCTGCCGTGTGCCTCAACTCCGCCCATTTACTACTGACCACCGCCGGCTCAACCCCTGCCCCCTGCTCCTCCCACTTAAAGTGTGTGTTGAAATCCCCCAGCAGCACAGCGGGGTAACCTTTGTTGCATCCACGATCAAACCCTGCATGCATAAATCGGCAAAGCTCTTCCCTCGGCTCGTTGTTTGGTAGATGAATAGTGCCAAACCACATGAACTTCTGGGTGAGTTTGTGTTGCAACAAAAACCAGGCACCTCGTGCATTACTGCGCTTCTTGTACAGGTTGAACTTGGCCGCGTTATAGAATAATCCAACAGCCCGATACATCATATGATCCTGATAAAGGGCTCCATGGTACACTTCTCCTTTGAGAATCCTCCATCCCGGCGATTGTTTTGGGTATTCCTGAACTGCCAGCACGTCACACTCTGGGGTCTGAGCAAGAAGAGTTTTGACACGCTTGGCACAGGTACCAGCTAAGTTCCAAGACCCACAACGAATGTGATGACACTCCGGGATAGTTGCATCACTGCCAACGGGTGCTTGTGGGGGCTTGTCTTCAGGACCAGGAGCCTTACTGTAATCATCTCCCGGAGCGTCCATAGTCGGAAAGAAAAATCTCGGACCAGAGATTTCCTGGCCCTCATCAACGACATGATTGCAAGAGGAAAAGCGTCGAGGTTCACAATGTTCATCCTCTCCGCGCCTCAAATCTTGCTGGCAGTTCTCCTTTCGGAGATCTTGATCGGCCGGTGAACCAGCTGCAGGCGAAGCCACGTTCTCAGTTCTCGATGGCCTGCTGCCAGGCCTTGACCGCGACATCTTCCTTGACCCCAGTAACCTTGGCAAACTCTTCCGGGGGCGAACCAACTACCCGCAACTTTTCCAGGCAAAGTCTTGATCCCTGCTGGTGCGGGCACAAGCACTGACCCAACGAGGACATCATCCTTGTAGACGCTGCCCTCCTTATAATCGGTGTCAATGTTGTCGACTCCAACCTTCGTGACATGTAGCAGCCTGCGGAGTTTACTTGCATGTCCACTTTCCACTCTGAGGTTGCGGTCCCGGGCCACAGTACACCACAGTGGACATCCGTCCAAGGTGCTGGGGGTAGGAACCCCAGCTTTGTTGATAAGATCCGCTACGATAAGCATACGGTCCTTCATGTCATCGTGCTGCTCTTGTTGGCGTAGGCGAAAGCTTACCAGGGCCACGCCACGGCGTGGTCCAGGAGCCCATGGGCGCTCGTCCAAGTACTCATCCGCTGCCAGGTCCTTGAGCACCACGTCCAGCTCGCGCAGGACGATCTGTCGTCTGGACCGCGGAGGCCATCCACCGAAGACCAGCGCAGGCCGCTTTTCGCCATCTGTGGAAGCGGCGGGCCCCAAGCTCATAGGTTTGCATTCCAGCTTGGCGACCCTCGCCATGAGGTCCTTGTGGTCAGCTTGCATGGTTTGCTGCTGTTGAGCCACACCTTCGAGCTGCTTCCTTGTGGACTCTGTCTCCTGCATGAGGCTCCGCTTGATGTCATCTAAGGCTCCCAGCGTGCTCTTCTCACTTCTGGCAACCGCTGTCTGGACGGCTCTGCTGATGTCCTCCCTCTGGGCTCGCAACATTTCCTGCGCCTCACCCGCGAAGAGGGCCTTGATGTCTTCGAAGGTGAGCCCTTCCGATTTCCTTTGTGGCGATCCAGCTTGCTCAACATCCACGGCCATGGCCTTCCTAGGCGGCTCGTCCACATCAACATCCAGGACCGTTTCCGCTTTCTTGCCATCTTTTCCACACCTCCCCTGGATCTGCAGAATCGTGTAATTGGCGGTCACCCGGCGAAGCTCCCCCCACTCGTACACCTGACGCGCCGAGCTCTCTGGGGTAGTGCATGATCAACTCCTCCCAGACGAAGTCGGGCCCAGCACGGAAGGCAGCAATGGCGCACAGGATAATTTGATTTCAAGCTGAGGAGAAAAGGTCCGGAAAAAAAAACCCTAAACCCTAACGTTGGTTGGTTGGTTGGTTGGTTGGTTGGTTGGTTGGTTGGTTGGTTGGTTTCTTATGCTATGTTATGTGTATGTATGTATGGATTGGTGGATGGATGGATGTATGGATGTAGGGATGTATGCATGGATGTATCTATGTATCTATTCATATATGCACCTATGTATATACGTATATGTGTATTTAACGGAGTACCATTAGCCAAGAAGGGAACCCCCAATGAGTGGAGGTTGGTCAAAAGGCGCGGTGATTCCTTGGCCCAGCTTCCTGCAGATAGTCTTGTAATGATAGTAGTAATCACAATACTTGCAGTATCAGCAATAGTAAATAGTAGTCATAATACTACTACTCCTCCTACGACTGCTACTGCTACGGCTACTAATGCTACTACTGCTACTACTGCTACTACTGCTACTGCTGCTGCTACTACTACTACTACTGCTACTACTACTACTACGACGACTACTACTACTACTTCTACTACTACTGCTACTGCTACTGCTACTGCTACTGCTACTGCTACCACCACTACCACCAGGTAATGGTCGCGTTTATGACGATGTGATTTTTTCCACTTAACCCACTGAAACTGGGGTTTCACGCGATTTTTGAACAAAGTCCTCCTGGAACTTTTCTGCTTGATCCAGTTGCCCAGTATTTTTGGTCTGAGATGTTGGTGCGTTTTCTAGTGCATCCGGGCCTACTTGGGATTTTTTGAGGAAACGCGTTTTTTCAAGTAGGCTTCCCGGGGGCTTTTTCTCATTATTCATCGCCCCATTAGTCCAAGTTTGCCCCATTAGTCCAAGGGTGTGAGAAGTTCTGCTTTAATTTTATCATCGCCCCAGAGGAGTTCTGATTTAATTTTATCATCTCCCCAGTAGTCCAAGGCTCGCCCATTAGTCCAAAGGTGTGTGAGGAGTTCTGACTTAGTATTATCATCGCCTCATTAGTCCAAGGTTCGCCGCATGAGTCCGCGGAGTGACGAGTTCTGATTCACTTTTATTCTCGGTGCCCGCATTTTCCGCATGCACGCAATGGTGCCGCTGCTTGCCACCAATGCGACTTTTCACAAGGGATCGTTACATCCCTGACTCTGGCTGGAGCCAATATCAACGATGCAGACATTTGAGTTTCCGCATGCTGAAACATGTTCAACATAAAAGGCCCCGACAAGTTCTAGGGCAACTGCGCCCATGTGAAACCCAGGAGTGCCGGAAATTGCAGCGTTTTGGGTCCCACGATGCCACGAAAATGCAAGGTCACGAACGTAACCGGAGCCTCCTACTACTACTACTGCTGCTACTACTCCTACTCCTACTCCTACTTCTACTTTTACTTCTACTACTACTAGTACTACTAGTACTACTAGTACTACTAGTACTACTACTACTACTACTACTACCACTACTGCTACTATTACTACTACTGCTGCTACTACTACTACTACTGCTACTACTACTACTACTACTAATAGTGCTGCCTACTGCTACTGCTATCACCAATAGTAGTGATGAAAGTTGATTGTGGCATTGACGGTGGTTTCTCCGGATAGTGATATTAGAGCTGCAGGATATTGTCTTGTAATGGCAGTAGCTTCGATCAATATCCCAGGTGAGCAGCATGCCATGGTGGCAAATACAGTTTGCAAATTGGCGCACCATAAGTCCTAAAACCCTGACCCTGAGCTTTACCCCGAACCTTAAACCCGAAATCCTACAGCATTCTTAGCCCAAAGCTCAAAATAGCCCAAAGCTCAAGACCCTTGCTTGCATGTATAGGTTCCCTACGGGCTTCTGCTGTTGAAACCTGAATTTGAGAAAGTTTCCACCAGAAGTCACAAGTACCATATAACATCCGTACATAAATACAAATCCTATGAAGTAGTTCTTCACAGGTTCTAGAATATCTCTAGCATTTTTATAGAATTCTTATGATATCCTATTTGGTATTATAATATAACATCGTATGTTGAAATCTACTATAATTGTACAATAGTTTTTTTGATATATGATAATATCCCAACGAAATCATTTTCATCCTTGCGGCCTAAGACTGTGCCTCCTGGTGCAGATTGTTGCGCTGCTGCTTGCACGCGGTGCTCGCGTGAATCCAGCTGCGGCAAAGTGGAAAGGCTTGGGCCGGGAGTTTTTGTATTATGGTATATTTTAGTATCTCATAGTATATTATAGATATTATAGTATATTTTAGTAAATTACAGTATATCATAGTATACTATAGTATATTATAGTATATCATAGTAAACTATAATATCTTACAGTATGTGTCGTGGTTTGAGGTAATGCCTGCTCATGCAGGGTTCCGAATATTTGCAGTGCCTACGCAGTGAGGTGGTCCTCTTGATCCCGTGTTACATCCTTATATGAGCTATAGTCTAAACTCCTTAAAGGGGGATTATATAGGGGACTACTATAGGGGCTCTTAAGGGGGATACTAGGAGTTTAGACAATGGCTCATATACATTCAGCTTCCATTGCAGTTTCCATTGTCTTGTCCATTTGATTTTCCATTATGCGGATATTAACCCCTTGTAATCCCTACATTCACATGCTTTTAGTTTTTGTGGTTTTCAGGTCTTGGGTTTCTGACCTTCAGTCGATAGATTGGACTTGAATGTTTCCTTTTATGTCAGGAGAGACGCCTCTACACTACGCATGCAAGTGCGCTCCTCAGGACAGAGTACAGGTGCTCGAATGATTACCAATACTATGGTCCTAGATTGCCTTGCCTGTACAATTATTTGATGGCCCATCTCAAATAGACCTCAGCATCATCTTTTATATCTGTATACATCTATACATACAGGTAACTGTTCAAGCTACTAGGAATCATTCGAATAAGAACTTTTGCGCTGTTGACTCGGAGAAAGCAAGAACAAAGCCAGATACCTCGAATAGTGAAAACTTACTGGTTCGGAAAACATAGTCCCTAGGTAACCCCTCTTACTATATGCCCTTATCCGTACTGAGAACCAGTCAGAAAAGGTATGGACATGCCAAGATTCTGCAGATGCTGCTTTCGTCCTTCACTCAGTTGATCTTTCTGACTGAGACTGTGCATTGTTTCTTTCATATAGGGTTTAGGTCGGTTTAGGGTTTTTGCTGGAGATGAATGGTCTTCTCGATGAGGATCACAGAGGTGGCATGCCGCTGCACTTCGTAGCTCATAGTTCGGGGAAGCATCGTAGCAATGGGGTCCAAACAATCTCTGCTAATTGCCCAGGGGGCAGGGAGAAATCCCAGCTCCTGCATACATAGCTTGCTGTACGGAGGTGCTGTGAGGCTGCGACAACCATGAATCACGCGCAGCTCTTGTAAAGTAGATCTCTGAAATTCAGCCCCCATTGCCATGTCTCATGTTTTGTTTCCTGCTATCATTTGTTAAGTACGGTATTTGTGTACAATATGAAACATACATTCTTATCTTGCTCTGAGTATACATATATGAGTGTGAACCGGGAACCGTGTCATCCCACAACAAACTCTCTACATACATGCACATACAGATGCGCAGATGTCCGTGTACATTCCTATATACACGTACCCACATATGCACACACTGCAGTGCCCAACCCCTTTGCCCTCGTATTAGCCAATGAGGTCTGGAGCAGACCCAGCTGTGCTGACCCAGGACAGCAGCTCAGAGATAGGGCTAAGCGTGTTTGCTCATGGTGTTTGGGGGTTTCTGTGTTTTTACACTTTTGTTTCGGTTTGAAGTTGAAGTTGTTATTATGGTCATCGTATACATGTGTTGTTGGTTGGGGGGGGGGGGGTTAAGGTTTTTTGGTGATGTTTAGTTTACTTTCTCAATCCTGTTTTTGATTTTTTGTCTGGAAGGTTGGCAAAGGGGTCAGCGTTTCAATGTTTGGGTGGGTCAGGTTTTGGGTCTAAGGGTTGGGGTTTAGGGTTTAGGGGCTCCCTGATTGGGTCTACAAGGAATCACCGTATCTTGGGCTTCCTTTTTGGGCTCAGCGCTTCCCCAAACTCAAGCCTAAGGAGCGAAGAGTGGTCCCCACTGTTTATTTCTTCGTATGCCCCTTTATCCCGCTCAGCATTTAGGATTTACGGCTTAGGCTTTAGGGCATCCTCTTGTTAAGAAACCGCCAAGCCCTTCCCTTCAACCCCAAACTCCCTACGTTTAGCCCTAAATCCTACTCCATGACTATATTCCAGAGCTTAGCTTACCTGGGAGGAGGGCCGTTCCGCCCTGGACTTTGCGAAGGCGCCCCAGGGGATGATCCTTTAAAGACCAAGGTCGTTCTCATCATATTTACTAAAGTCTAGACTCCTGAAAGGGGGTTATATTGGGGATTATATACAGGGGAGTAATGTAGAGGTTTAGACTATAGCTCAGTTACATGTCGTAACAGACACTTGCGAAAAGGGCCTGCGACACGAGGAAACTCTTCGGAGTGCAGTTTTTCTGCCACCTGGTATGTTGGGAGATTATCGCTTTATCTCTGCAGTAGTGAAATAGTTATGGGCTTAGTTGCAGCTGCCTGTACACAATTGTACTGAACGCAGGGATTGTAAGCAACGTAGTTCCTGTACATGCAGATGCATGAACTTCATAGCGCGTGCAGCCACCTTGCACAACCAAGCTGTGTGTTGGGATCTCCCCGTTCCGATGCACTTATTCCCATCCCTAAACCCTGAACCATCCTGAACCCTAAACCCTAAACCTTTTCCCGGATCACTGGCTGTGGGATGCACCATCAGAATTAGCGGTGTTCAACTACAATTCCCGGCTTTCACTTCCTGAAGTCAATGGTCTGAAGGGGTTTAGGGTTTAGGGTCAATGGTCTGAAGTCACACTTCCCTAAAACTCCACGAAGCACCAGTTTCTGCCGCCCACGCCCTGGCTACCTGGAAGAAGAAGACCTTTAACCCTAAATGGTAGCTTCCAATTCCTTTGGATAACTTATATATGACCCCTCAGAGCCCCAGCGGTTACCCTAAATAGTAGCTTCCATTTGCTTTTCCATTCTAGTAGAAAGTCTATAGATGAATCCCATTATAGCCTTAGAGCCCCTGCCGGTCTGGTTTTTCAGGAGAAAAGGCACCTGAACTGCGTCGACCTGCTCTGTGGAGCCACGAGCCCCTTCCTTAGATCTTATAGTCCCCCTTTAAGTAGATAGAATATGGCTTTGGGTATGTTATAATAAGATCCCCATATACCCCATATTCTATCTACTTAAGGGGGACCCTAAATCCTAAACCTTATATTCTATCTACTTAAG